CTTGTGTCTTGTTGCAACTGTCATATGCTTGATGTGCAGGGAATTTTTTTCTCCTAGACTTAAATTATCCTCAGAAGAGGATAGTTCGAGCATGGTTTTTTTATCCCCTCCTTCCCTTGTGTTTACTTTTCTCATCTAAGATCTCGGGGCGCTGTACTTACGGCGATTACCGACAGGCCCTTCGCACTGTATCCCATGTTCGTCTTTGTTTTTCATGTTTCTTGTGCAAAGCGTGCCTGTTAAGTCCAATTACCCCATGGGGATGAATAAAGTTTTCTGAATCTGAATCTGAAAAAAAAAGTTCAGTGTTACAAGTACTGTCATGCAAGTATCAACCTCAAGAGGAGTTCTATTTTTATAAACTTGTCACAAATGTTGGTCCCTCTGCGCGCGGAAATGAAACACTTGGGCGACAACGCACTCACTATGCCAAACTTCATTCAGGTGGCGAGAGGCCAAACTCCATCGGAAAACGGACCATTTGTCACTTTGCATTGCTTATGAAGGCAATTTCAAGAACAATGCAGCCTAAAAATCTGAACTGGATCTTAAATTAATATCACAATATGATCGGCATATGAATTAGCCGAATAAAACATTCGGTTTGCATTTTTAGAGTGCCAATGTGACAGATCTTCGGATGGTCAAAAGCTGAAATAATTTCACCAAAAATACACCTAAATATAGATTTGAGATCGCCGAATTAACCGAGGATTTCCCATTGATGCAACGGTGTTGTCAAACGTTGAGTAAGGGTTTGGTTTTATCTGATAGTAGGCAGGCAAACACAAAATGTCAACATTTTACTGGAGTTCCATTTGCTTGATTCTTCCCACTTAATCTACGTGCGTTTGTTTATTTCCTCAACCGCATTGACAAATGAATAATGCGTTGTTTGATTTGGGGACTTTTGCAGTTCTCTGCCACGTTGAATGATTGCGTGTGGGCGCGTGTGTGTATGTGTGCCTTGGTGTTACCGGCGGGTGATCCACGCAGGTCGTCTGGATGTTTAAAGATTCCAAACGTTTCTCCAGTTCTGCCCGCAGCTCCTCGGACATCTTTAAGAAATTGAACTTTTTATTCAAATAAATGTGTATAAAAAAAAGGACAACAGTCAGAAAGCCGCTTGCTCAGCTGGCTTGCTCCCTCTTCCTTGCTGTCAATGTTTTCTTCTTCATTTGGCGACTGCAGTGCCCTTTTCCCTGTACTGCCACCCACTGGAGACTTTGTGGAAACGCTTCTCTTTGAACCTCGCGTCATCATCCCTATTTCCCACGTGACCTAACCGAAAAAGCGCCACTTTTCCGAATTTTGGTGTTAAGCAGGGTTGTCACAGCATCTTCTAATAACTAATAAAGTCACTAAGTTACTTTTAAAATCAAATAATCAGTAAATCAACGAAGGTAACTTGTCATGTGCAATTGTGGCAACCCTGCCTATCACTCAAATTTTGCCTCACGGCACAAAGCCAAAAAATAAAAATGGACAAAGCAACTGCAAAGGTCGCGGAACTTGTGAGGAGCTGCTGCGGACAACAGCTCACACCGAGATGATGATCGCTCCTGATGTCATTCACTAGGCCACGCCCCTTAAAGGCAAACATCAACACACCAAAATGACAGTAATTTGACATTAAAAAATGTCCGCTCTCTTTTATTGTGATTGCTGTTTTTCTCGATTGAAATCGTACCTCCACCCCCTGCCCCATCGATAAATAAATAAAAATCATGTTTTAAGCGGACATCCACCCATGAGATCTTCTTTTTTGTTCTTGTTTGTCGCACGGTTTGATGAGAACATGCGTCCCCGTTCCACTTCCACCTGAATGGAAACCAGGCTCACGTACGACATCGACCCACTTTGGCGAGGTCGGCGCGTCTGTCGACGAAGCGGGCAACCTTTTAGCAAATGAACAGCAGATAAATGTCGTGTGATTTGGGTCGATTGAGGGGAGGCGGCAAAACGGGAGGGGAAAAAAAGGTCATTGCGAATGTCCCTCAACAATGGATACGAGACTAAGAAAAAACATCTTCGATCGAGGTTGTTGTAGGTATAGAATCAATTTTTCACAAAACTTCCACTTGGGCTGTATGTTCTTTTCATCATTTCAAAAAACAATTTTAGTTCCTGATGTGCTTCCAAATGTCTTCACTTCTTTTGTGTGTAACTGCCTTTGAATGACGTATTTTGAACTAGCAGGAGCACATTTTTTGCCTTGCTTGCAGACTAAAGTTCATCATGAAGTAGACGTCAAACAGCTTCATAGCAATCATGTCATTGGCTCAATTTACACGTGGCGCATTTCCAACTCTGCAGATACAATGGGCACGAATGATCCCGACTACTCACCAAACTCAAAAATATCGGTAAAGACATCCGATTGTTCTGAAACATTTACAAATCCATACACGGCTCCTAACTAACACCGTTAATTTTGATGTCTGCTCTTGGGTGAATGCAAAATGGTTGGTACATCCTGGCACTTTGGATCACAGATCCCTCTGGTGTATTGTGACAATAATGACACACCTTCCATTGGCATAAATGTCATTTGCGGAATGGTGGGGTGACACCCAAGCGCCCTCTAGTGGCCATCTTCCCTGCACTGGTATCCTGCCATAATGGCTGAAATGACTCAACTGCACACACAATGGAGTCCGCTTCAAAATGACCTTCAAGTGTCTCTGTCTCCCAGCTGTCAATCACCGTGTCCTACATTCCAGTCCACTCACGCCCAAGCAACGATGATCTGGCATCCGCGGTTACCATGGCGACCTTACCTACACCAAGGTGAGGCAGATTATCGCTCCTTCTCAGACGAGCGTGACGGTTCGCCGTCCCAAGGTCATTTCAATGTTGCGTAAGGAACCATCAATTTAGGATTTGGACGCGTTTCGCCTATTTGCGTGCGTTTATTGAATCTATATGTGGCATGCCCTGCCGAACAAGGAGGAAACTTTACAGATGATTTTGTATCATCATCATCATCAAATGTTTCATTGTGTGTAGTGAATCAGTACAATCATGATTTCACTCTTTATCCCCGTGACAGTGCCACTGACGGTTGTCTTTTGTAAATGCGTGGCCCGCGGGCGTGCACGTGTCGGTGGACCACATTCGAAGGTCTTCCGAATGAAGCAGCCGCTCGCTCGCTTTGTTTTGGTTTGATTCCAGCTTTTTGTGCTCATCTCCTAATGTCCTCTGCTGCTTTGACACAGTGAGCCACCGACACAGCTCCCCCTGGCCCCCACCCGGCACACAGACTTGTGCGTGTGCGTGTTTGCGTGTGTTTATAGTCCCTTATATAAAGTCCACCCGGGTGGAGGTGAAGTCTTTTTCTATCGAAGGATTCCTGTCTTGTTGTAGTCATGAAGATGCCGATGGAAGACTTGTCTTGTTTTTGTCTGTGAACTTGGTGGATATCAACGACAACTTTTTTTTTTCTCCGCCATTTGAAACGAGAGCGTTTTGGAATTTCTTCATCATCTTTGGGCCCTCTTCAGGTAAAGTCAGACTTGGAGCTCAACAAATTTACAACCACTCGAAACTTTCTTTCAAACCGGGCTGAGTCATAAAATCCTCTTCAGGTAAAGTCAGACTTGGAGCTCAACAAAAATTGCCTTGATTTGCAACTTTCTTTCAAACCGGGATGAGTCATAAAATAAAATTTCCATTTTGTTTCACAAAAATGAAGAGATGCAATTTCGGTAGGAAATGCCCAAGGGCTGAATGAAATCATGTGCAAACGTGGACTGATGAGAAATGATGTGGAAAGCTCTGACCAGTTTGAAGTTGGAAGGTTTGAATCAAGAAATGTGGAAGTTGGAGCTGAAAATGCAAAAATGGTACATTTCTGTCTTTTATTTTGCCAAATTAGGACATTTCAGTAATGGGAATGCGGTCTGAGGAGTTTAAAGTGGGAATGATTTGAATTACCGTAGTCAAAAAAAATGTGGACACCGGAGGCGAATTTAAAAACAATGCTGAATTCAGGGCATTTATTCGGAACATTTGGAGAAACGGATTATGGTAAGAAGTTGGAAATTGGAATGGCACCAAAATGTGCAAGATGCTTGAAAACCGTAAGTCACAACATGGGGATTGTTATTTAGAGAATGGGGGTCATTTGGGAATGGGACTTGTTAGCAAAAAGCCAGATGAACATGTTGAAGTTTCAATGGTGTGAATTTGGTCTAGAAATGTTCTCAATGTGTGTGTGTGTGTGTGTGTGTGTGTGTGTGTGTGTGTGTGTGTGTGTGTGCGCGTGTGTGTGTTACCAGGCTGCCCCAGACAGCTACCGGGACTCGCCGTCGCCGCCGCTGAGCAAGGCAGAGGTATTGCAACACGGAACAGCAAGAAAAATGAAACTTGATCCCTGTCAACATAATCATGTAACGTTAGCTGCCCGTGCTACTGTTCCTTCTTCAGCATTGACGAACGCAAATGAAAAAAAAAAGACAAAAAAACCCGATTGAGATCGCGGATTGTTTGCAGAGCAGGAAAACACCAATAAACGGGAAAAAAAATCAAAGCTCGCATGTTTGTTTTATCCGCGTTTTAGCGTTTATGCGTGCATATATGTTTGTGTTTGTGTGCGAGCGTGTATAGCCGCTGTGCGCGTACATGTGAGGGAGAGTGTGTTGCGTGAGTTTGTGCGCGCGCCTCTGCGTGAGTTCGCGTGTTTTCGTGCGGGTGTGTAAAGTTGTGTAAGTCGATGTACGCGAATAATGCTCTGTGTGCGCGTGTGCGAGTGTGTAATCAAAGGTAAAAGATGCTCATAGACTCGTCGCACGTGTTGACTGTGCAGTGGGCGCCAGGAGGAGGCGGAGGAGGAGGTGGAAGAGGAGCGTAAGAGGACAATGAGCGCCACGCGCCACCACCACGCCTTTGTCTCCCGCAACATCACCGGCGGGAGCCACGCCTGGACCGCCGCCACCCTCACCGGCTCCGGCTCCGGCTCCGGCTTGGGCTCTCCCGCGGACGCGTTCGGGCCCTCCGAGCTCCAGAGCGCCGCTGAAGCATCGCCGACGGTGAGTACAACTTTGCGCTCCCGAACTCCATCGATAATGAGCGTCATTTAAGGCTCGCCCGCTTTCCTGGCGTCACACGTGAGCGGACAAGGAAAAACGAATGGATGAAAGTTATCAACAGATGTCTGGAGTCACGTCGGCTGATAAATAACATGAGTTTGACACGTTTTCATGAAAGCAAGGAGACTGATGTAGAATGTGCAAGTGAGCCTCCAGAAAGGTCTGCCCGGTGACGCCAGAACACCAACATGCGTCAAACAGGTGTTAGATTTTTGGATTGGTACCTGAACATTGAATCGACATGTTTAAAAGCTCGACATCACAGAGATGCATGATGTTATCTACACAATCTGTGGATGAGAGCGAGCTCTGCGGCACATATCGATCACATGAAGGGAAACTTCCATGACCTACTTTACTGTGGAAGCTGCATGCACAGCCATTCGTCAGCACGAAACACACTTGCCCCATGCTCGACTTTACTTTAGTAATACTTGAACACACGATCATTTGAAGATAAGTCTAGAAACAGGGTGCGTGACTCGCGGTATGTGCAGGGGGATTGCAAATTTGGGGCCCCTCCACACAGAACCCTTCTGAAGGCCTCTCTGTCCTAAACGCAAGCAGTCCTACCAGGAAATGTGAAAGCAAGTCTTGGGAGTGCCTTTAAGACTTGGATCAAATGATCTGGACTTGTCTGAGAATGCCACTGACAGACCTGGAACTCTTTTCAGACTTGGGTCAAATGACCCGCAAGGTAGCAACTGTCAACTAGCAATGGAGGACACGTGCCTACCGGAAGATGGGACTGAAAAGCCGACTGAAAACATTCTTGTAAGACTCGGTCCTCGCGATGTGGTCACGGCTTCAGATCCGACTGGAAAATCGGAATGTATTCCTTGTGCAGTCAGATTTGAATGAGAAGACTTTGTCATGGAAGGGATGCGGCCCCCGATGTCAATGTCAAGGCTGCTGATGTCTTAAGGACTTTGGATCGGACGCTTTGAGACCATGGAAGCGAGCCACGTTACACAATCGACCCAGAGCGCGACCCACTTTGCACCCACATCATCGATTGAAAGCAGACATTGAATTGTTAGTCAAGAGTTCGCGGCACCACTGTGATGGACATCCAATAGCCGTAATAGCATTAGCATGTTGAGACTCCGAGATTGGGCTCAGTGATAATATTAGCTTCTTTCGCACTGGACTTCGAAGCCATCTTTTTCTGGCTCATTTGGGAGAGTCCCCTAGAAGGAGTTTGAGTTTTGGGGAGGGGCAGGGGAGGGCGAACCATTTGTCCGAAGAATGATAAACGATACCAAGAGGGCCGTTGCATGCAATGGGCGACAACTCGCGCCGTCAACTTTGTTTTGAGAAAAGTTCTTATCTCCAAAGTTCATTTCGTCCCCTCAGCTCAGCTTTCATCCTTTAACGTTCCCACTTGGGAATTCTGGGAAATGGACACTCTCGCAGAGAGCCGTTTTTTAATTAAGTGGTCCATTATTCCCGCAGGAGGAATTATGGAGGAACTTCTCCTCCTGTCCGACCTCCATTTTAGTTCATCGTAGCTGAAATGGAGACAAGAGACGGGCGGCTTCAATTTTGGGTGCAAACACAGCGACTCTGCGGAGAGATTCATCATTCATTCGTCGCTGATTAGCCAGACGGGGTAACGGGAGGGCTTCTCACCGCGCCGAATGTTGTTCATGTGATTACATCAAGGAGCGCCTCATTTGCATTCAACTCGGATAAATGGCAGGCGGCTTGCAAGGAAGCGGCTCGCTAATAGCATGTTTAGTACTCATCATGGGCCCAATACTCCGACCTCTTAGAACGGTCCAGCCCTGTTTGATACTCACAGTGGACAGTTCATAAGTGTAGCAAGCGGGAAAGAGGTGCAATCCCAATGACTCATGATCGACATGATTTCGATCCGATTTCTTTGTAACTGAGTGAAACTGGCTTTGGGTGCTGAATTCTTAAAACATTCCTGTCGGCCTTACCGGGAGTCATTCAAATTTGCTCCTGTGCTCTGCCAAGACAAAATGTTAAAAACAAAAGTCCTTTGCAATTTGGTGGTGTACATCCATTGGGTTTGGTAGGGTTCCAATTGGATCGCAGTCGGGTAAAATCTGGAGGTCTTGTCTGTCTTTGAAGGACCGTTTGATGTGGCTGATTCAAAGCAGAATGCCAAACACCATTTGTCTTTTCGGGGCATGGCTTCTTGAGACTTTTTTGTGGGTCTACCGATGATAGACACGTCCACCAAATTTCATGCAGTCTAAGTTATCCAATTCAGGTGAATTGTCCCTCTTGTCCTCCAGGTGGCGATGGCACCTCGGGCCGCCCACCCGTTCCCCACCGTGGACGTGCCGGACCACGCCCACTACACCATCGGCTCCACGATCCTCGCCATCGGCATCACCGGAATAGTCGGCAACTTCCTGGTCATCTACGCTTTCAGCAGGTGGGACGCCACCAAATATAGTCCCGGCGACACAACGCCGATCAGCCATGTGACCCGGACACACACGACCACCCATTCTGTTTGTGTGTGTGTGTGTGTGTGTCTGTGTGTTCAGGAGCCGCAGCCTGCGCACGCCGCCCAACATGTTCATCATCAACTTGGCTGTCACCGACCTGTTGATGTGTGTCACTCAGGCGCCCATCTTCTTCATCAGCAGCATGCATAAGAGGTGGATCTTTGGCGAGAAAGGTACGCACACCCTGGATTGGTCACCACGCTGGGCACGGATATACCAACAATGGACGAAACGTGCAAAAGTGACAAAATGGTCGACATGGAAAAAAATTTGTGTTGGTTTGACGTAATGTGCGCTCGCTCTTGACGTGTCTTTGCATGCGTGTGTGTGGCAGCGTGCGAGCTGTATGCGTTTTGCGGCGCCTTGTTTGGAATCTGCTCCATGATCACGCTGACGGTGATCGCCGTGGACCGCTACTTCGTCATCACGCGACCCCTGACCTCCATCGGTGTGTTGTCGCGCAAAAGGGCCCTCGCCATCCTGGCGGCGGCATGGGCGTATTCTCTGGGGTGGAGCCTGCCGCCCTTCTTCGGATGGAGTGAGCACGCACGCAAGCATGCACGCACACGGGCCGGCCATGCTAAAGAAATTACACAGATGATCAAATTGATAAACGATACAAACTGTACAAGATGGTCTGGAGGTCTGGGGGGGGGGGTGAGAAAAGAGGCGCAACTGTACAATATTGAAAAAACTCACCAAATGAAAAAAAAAAAAAAAGACACTGACATCAGAATTGGAAAGAATGGTCAAAATGGCAAAAGTAAAATTGGCAAAACTGTGCATACAATTGAATTGACGACTTTTGACCAAAAAAAAATGACCAATGGGAGGAAAAGAAAAAATTTAAATTTCAAACATTGACAGGAATTATGAGATTGTAAAAAGGGACAAAACAGGTTGTACTGACAAACCTGACAATGCATCCCAACTACAATGAGTGTGTGTGTGTGTGTGTGTGTGTGTGTGTGTGTGTGTGTGTGTGTGTGTGTGTGCGTGTGTGTGTGTGTGTGTGTGTGCGTGTGTGCGCGCGCGCGTGTGCGTCAGGCGCGTACGTGCCCGAGGGCCTGCTGACGTCGTGCACGTGGGACTACATGACGTTCACGCCATCGGTGCGAGCGTACACCATGCTGCTGTTCATCTTCGTCTTCTTCCTGCCGCTCCTCGTCATCGTCTACTGTTACGTCTTCATCTTCAGGGCCATACGCAACACCAACAAGTCAGTTGCTAGTCCGACACGCACGTCTGCACGTTTTCTTTTTGGTTTTTTTTTTGATTCCTCCCAAAATAAAATCCCATCCAATCAAATATGATGCGAGTTGATTGATAAAAATGCAATTGTTACTTCATTCAAAAATTCTAACTAGGAAAGGCCATTCCCAATTAATGATTTAAACCTCATGGTAAGGTTGACTTCTTTGCAAAATGTGCCTCTCAAACTCAAATGGCATTTTTGAGGGACTTTTGAAAGCGAGTTCACCTTTATCGCGAGCGGCTCAGACTCCTTTTTCATTTCGAAAGAAATCTCAAAAGCTTTGGCATTTGAACAATTGCGAATGTTTTCCTCAACCGTGCGTGTGGTTATAGGGCAGTGGGCAAGATGAGCGGAAGCGGCGTGCACGCCCACGTGGCCTCTCGCGACTCCACCAAGTCCTTCCACCGGCTGCAGAACGAGTGGAAGATGGCCAAGATCGCGCTCATCGTCATCTTGCTCTACGTGGTCTCCTGGTCGCCGTACTCCACCGTGGCGCTCACCGCCTTCGCCGGGTAAAACCGAGGCCGGCGTGCCGTTTTTTTTTTTTTGGGTCCAGGAAAAAGGGGGACGCGCCAAGCGGGATACTCGGTTGCGGTCGGCCAGCGTGCGATTCTTGATGTGTTTTGCGCAGGTACGCTGACATGTTGACACCCTACATGAACTCGGTGCCCGCCGTCATCGCCAAGGA